GCTGGGGAGGGGGGCTGTTCTAGTGACACAGCCAGGCCCGTGGGGGCACTCGGAGAGGAGGGCTGGGCAGGGTGAGCGGCAGGGGCTGGAGCTAGTGCTGGGGAAGGAGCAGCATGAAGAGATGGAGAGAGAGAAACAAAGTGAACCAATGAGAACAGAAAAACAAGGGAGCAAGGGGAGAAAGGTGAGTTATCCAGCGCGACCCCGCGTGGGCTGCAGTTCAGTTACCTGGGCAGACGGGCGGCCCCAGACCATGGCCCTTTAACACCACGGCCCTTGCGGCTCTCAAAACGCTCTCCACACACAACAGACACCCCCCGCCCTCCCCAGGGAGACCGATCAATGTATTTGAACACACAAACCCAGGACATGCCCCGTACAAGTGCCTGACAAGCCAGGTGGAGCGGTCGGTGTCTGGTTGGTTCGGCGTTTGCCTGGCTCTGGAAATCCCGCTCTGGCTTTGGTGAAGGATGCTGTCCCAGCAGACTGGTACAAGCATTCAATTCTTCTCCCAAAGGGATTCTGGGAGCATGGGGGAAGTTACACACCCCTGGGCTTCACACAGTCCAATTCAAAGCTTGGCTCCCTCAGCTAATATGGAGGTGTGGTCGGCAGAGGCGGCAGGCCCGGGCATGCAGGGCTCCACCTGGATCCAAACAGGGCAGGATCACATGCTGGGCTTCGCGGGCACCTGCATATTAAAGAGGAGCCTGGCTGCAAACCGCTCCTTTTTAGGCGGGTTAGGTTAGGCTCTGGCATTTGGGATGCCTGAGAACAGGAAGGAAACATCACAAGTTGCCGTACAGCTCCTGAAAGTTGCGGTTTCATCGTCCCAACACACCAGGCGCTCACACGCATTCTTTATCCCAGGAAGGCAGCCCTCAGATCCTAGGAGCAAACACCCCCTCCTTCTCTAGCCTCATCCATCCACAAACATGCAATTCAAGGCCTCGTGTGCTCCTGGAATGCAGGTTTTCTTTTACACGTAAGTGAACTGAGGCACGCGGCGGTGACACGGGAGAAGAACCCAGGAGTCCTAGCTCCCAGGCTCCTGCTCTTGCACTGCACTCTTTGCTAAACGGTTTTGTTAATGGACTACCCAGCACAGCAAACATTGTTAATGAGACGCACGGGGGGGACATGAGTTCAGAATACCTGACGCTTGGACAGGAGGCTCAGAAACAGCGGCTGCGGGCGCTGCGGGAGCACCGGCAGGAGGGGCAGGGACAGCAGGAGCTAAACAAGCAAGAGTGAAAGGTTATTACCGACAAGTCCTTCCAATCAGGAACTGCTGCAAGCAAGAAGGTTCTGCTCCATTTCCAAGACAAACCAGGTCTCGCAAGAATGGCGCCGCTCACCTTTCACCTCTGGAGACCAGAGTTCAAACCCAGGCTGGGCCGCAACCCACGCGAGCTAGTGTGGGGAAGATGGATCCAGGACAGCGTTGTCCTGATGATTCTGCTAGTCAGGAGCGAGCTGCACTGGACCAGCTGCACACCAGAAACAAGCCGCGCCTGCCCATATGATATAGAACTCTAGCGAGGGGCATCAGCCCTTTACTTTCTTGAGCGCTCGATGCTCCCCAAGCCTCCGAGGGAGAGAGCCCAGCGAGGTCTCTGGAAGAGGCTGGCAGAACACTGAACTAGGGAGAAACCTGCGTAGTCTGTATGGAAGGGCAGGGGAAGAGGCCGCGTTTGGCAGCGTATGTGAACGAGCTGGTTCTCATGAGCAGCAATCTGCTTAGCAAAAAGCTGCAGGCATGTTGTTTTGTACAGCAGGCAGAGGGGTCAGGCAAGGAGAAGGGCTGACCTGCTCCAGTTCATATTCCACCATCAGGTACAGTTCCACTGGAGACATTGTGACTCACGCAGCCTGGGGCAGCTTGCAACCCCAAAACGCCAATAATTAAACAGGAACAGCAGAGCTGCTTGGGCTGTTACACCAGTTAACCCAGCATCGGCTTCCAGGGGCTAGGAATGAGGGGGGCTTCATGAGGAGCAGGAGGGTGGGGAAGAGGTGGTCTGTGCCAGCAGGCCTGAGGCGGGGTCTGCCGGGGTCTGGGATGCAGAGGGCTTCTCCGCATTGTTCTCCTGAACAGCTTGAGAATAGAAGGGAAATGCCTTTTGTGAGTCTGACGCCTGGCTTCCACTCCAGAGGGCCAGGTCCTCTCCCAGCAGGGCAGTGCTGACTAATGCAGCATGCAGGTAACCCCAGCGCTGCACTGAGCAAGTGGCTAAGGCTTTCACTGACCCTCCTGCTGGGGGGGGGGGGGGGGGAGAGGGAGGGCGGGAAGAGGCTGCGTCACTGGGATAGACATACAGGAAGCTGCAAACCTACTCACCCTCATAAACCACGCCAGCTCCCTGCTCGTGCTAAGAGACTCCCCTCAGCCCTACCTCAGTAGCTAAGATGCCAGGCCAAACTCTAAGCTCTTGCCTGAACCAGGTGATAGGAAACGCCAGGTGCTGATATTCTGAGAACTGCAGCCCTGATCCAGGTAGGAATGACTGACTCATTTATGTGTCAGCCACTGATTTAGGGAGTGTGCACAAAAGCCACTTTGCATAGGTCACTTGACTGCTCACTCAGTGGCAGATGCCAGCCACACACCCTCAGCCTTTCCCAAATCGGGTTTAGTGCCAGTCAGAGACCAGAACCTGTCATCTCTCAGCTGCTGAGAACCAGACAGCTAGGCCCAGTTCTGCACTCAGTGCACGAAGGAATAGGTCTCGAAACCGTGCCCACTTGTGGGGTGAGGCCCCAAAAGAAAGCCCCCTCCCAGCCCCAAGGAAAGCGAGCAGGAGTTGGTTTCAAGCGTTAGTGAAATGTATGACGAGCAGATCCCAGAGTAGAGTCTAAAATTGGGAGTCCTGTAGCAAGGGGGAAGAAAGGCCCAGCACATGCCCCCCAGAAGTTACCGGCTTCCGAGTAGGGAAACCGATCAGTTTCTTAAAGGGGAACTACCAAATCTAACAAAGGGGCGCTAATCTCAGAAAGGTGCTGAGCCGAGCATGAACCAGGCGGCGGGGGCATTCCCCATAACTTTCCCTCTGAAAAATTCTTTCCAGTCTCCATGAGGCCTCGTTGATCCTTCCACATTCACTCAAGATGCCTCAGACATGATCACTCTGGACATCACTGAGACACGATTGCCACGCAGTCGCCAGCTCTAACGCCCCCCCCCCCCCCAATGTGCTCCAGGGGCATCTCCTGCCAGCCCAGGAGCAGTGGATTTCATTGAGGCCACAAACAATTGGTGAAGGCTCCTAGTAACTGCGCTGCGGGGGTGGCAAATGAAGCCCCATATTGTTGGTCCTCAGGAGTTCAGCACTGCGTTACGCTCTTTCCACGGGCCAATCTAACTCCCGCAGAGATACAACTGGGTGGCAAGAGGTGCGATGAAACCAGCTCAGAGATTAAACCACACACACAAGGAATCGTATGCCCCACCAGACTTCGGAAGAGTCTGCTCAATGCGGAGTTGGTATTTCTAATGCCCTAGATGAGTCAGAGCCCGATTTTATTTTACAGACAGGGTAACTCTTCGCGCCCCGCCCCCACTCTACCTCCTGTAGTAACTTGAGACCTACCTGAAGGCTCCAGAGCAGACTCAGTCTGGGAACCCTCGCCTGCCACCTCAGGACTCTTGCTGGCAACTGCTCTGGTCTGCTCAGCTGCCAGGGTCACTCCTGTGAGAGGCCAGCTTGCTTCCCCGGGGGCCGGGGGAGGAGTTACTGCAATAGCATCAGCTGTTGAGTACACACCACCTACTACCAAGACCCACCAACCTTTATATACTCCATGGCGTGGGAAGACACCCAAGAGATGAGAAGAATCAACAGTGGGGAAAATGTGTGAGTTATCCTCGGAGACCCAGAGAAAAACCATGCCCTGGGACGCTGCAGCTCTGTATTCACCCAAAGGCACAAATGGTGCCTGAGAAGTTACCCTGCCATAGGAATCGCATCTACCCCTCAATGAGGCCTTTAAAGAAAATGACAGCATGACAATACTGCTAGTCACCCTGAGCTACCTACTTGACTCATGACCAACAAGCACCACTTAACCATCATGCTGAGAACTGGACTTTAGCCCCACCCACCTCCCTCCAGGTTATTTCCCTTCACAAAACCTTTCCCCCAGCAGCGTTTGATCATCCATATGGTCCCAATTTTTCTTGTTGGCCCCAAGTCAAACTCACACAGCCCTTGGACAGAATTCACCCCATTGACCAGTCATGCACTGTGTGGCTGCCCCATACCTCAGGCCCAGTCCTACATCATGCAGTGTGCCCCGACCCTCTAGGCAGAAATGTAGCAAACAAGGCCATACTATTTGCTAACTGGATCACAGCACCCAGGAAACCTTCAAGAGAGACAATTGAGAAGCACAACATACAGTGGGTTTGAAAATCATTACTAAATTCATACACACTGCAAAACGCAAGCAGGATTCTGTAGCTTTTTTTGTTTTTTTAAGCTGTACCGACTCTCAGTTCAACTCCTCCCTCCCTCCAAAGAGTAGTCAGGCGTTCATACAGCACATTCATCAGTGGTGCATCACAATGCGCGGTGAATGCCAAACCCTGCTGTAACTTTCTGGCTGAGGCATCATGTTACTCCCTGTGTCCACTTTTAGCCATTCCATTGGAGAGAATCTGTTATCTAGTCAGTTTCAAGGAGTTAAAAGAAATCTCAGCTCCTAGGCCTGCCCTAGCACCCTGTGAATCTTTGCAGATTTACAGCTACGTTGTCCTATGGCTTTAAAATGTTTCTCTCTCCCCTGCTGTTTTGGGAGAGACCTATACATGCAATATGGGAAACCGAGTACACAGGGGAAAGAGTGAAATTGACAATACACCAAGTGCCCTCACAGACACAAAGAAAACAAGCTGAAAAAAAATTAATATCTCTAATCTGCTTCACTAATAAGGACTTCCAGTGTTACTCGTAACAACAGTAGGTTACAAATGCGTGATATAAGCTGATGGTGGAGGGAATCAGCATGTTACTGAACGTACCAAGCATGCTTTTGCAATTCCACTGTAGGCCGTGTAACACAGAGCTGGCTACACTGGGACTGCTTTGTCCGACTCTGAATGTTACCATATATTTAATAACCGATATCACTGCTGGCATGAAGCGCCTTTTGAGCTGGCTGAGTGAGAAACACCCACACAATCATGTGGCGACGCTGTGGGAGAAACAGTTCCGCCTTGTACAACAGCAGGCAGCCAAACAATGTGTGGTTAAGAGAAAAGGCACCAAGAGCAATGAAACCAACATCCAGCATTTCACCGGGTTAGAGCAGTAGAGACCCACACACTTGTGTTTCACTTAGTAACCACAGCAAATCAGAACATTAGTTAAACGAAAGCAGGTTGGTGTTTTACAATTAGTATTCCTGCACATCACACACTGCCAAAGCCTTGGTTGTACAGCTGGGCAGCAGTACCCACCGACCCCTTACTGCCCTTCAAGCATGCTACCACCATTTCCATTCAAAGAGCCCCCTTAACTCATCCACTGAGCAAGTGAAACCCAGTCAAGTTACCAGCGCTCAACCTTCCTTCTTCAAGGCTTTTAACTAGACTTCCAAAAGCCACCAATGGTCAAAATATTCTTGTTCTCCCTCCCCACAAACTGGCTTCACCTGTTCTTGAAGTTTAGGCTGGATGAGTTTTGGGATCCTTTCAGAAGGTGTATAATAAAGCAAAGCAACACTAACCTGTCTCAGCCTGAGGCTGTGGCAGTTCCTGCTCTGTGGCTGGGACGGTTTCTGTCGCTTCACCAGGCATTTCTGAGAGCAAGAAAGAAAAAACAGATGCCACCATTAGTGAAGGATTCAGTTCTTTGGGATTTGAGGAGCTAAGAGAAAAAGTCCCATGACATTCACAATTAAAGTCTCTCCCACAATCAGAAAAGCCAAACAGATGCACTTTTGGGTGGCTACAAATAAGGAAGTTTCATAAAACTTTTGAAACAAGCAAGAGAGAAGCTGTAATTTTATTTCACCATGAAATTGCAACTAAGTGGTCTTTCCCATTACCAAACCCCTGTATCACAGCATTTCCCATTTCCAGCAAGTAAGTAAACTCGTTATGTATGTCCTCAGAGGCAACAGGTCTGCAATGGTGATCATAGTGGCCAAGAACTTAAGATTAAAAATGGAACTGCATATTCATATGGGTATCATGAATATCCAAAGTTATAGTTAATGCCAATGCAGTTAATGGAAATGATATGAACTCTTGTGCTTCAGGACAAAACCAAATCTATTAGAGATCAAAATGCCACTTTGTGTGTGTGTGTGTGTGGGGGGGGGGGGGGTGGGGTGTGGGTGGGGGGGGGGGGGGGGGTTGTGTGTCAAATAATCCCTCATCTGCCTGAGGTAGGGTTCTTGCACCTTCCTCTGAAGTTTCTGCTACCAGCCACCATCAGAGACAGGATACTGGGCTGAAATGCACTGGCAACCCCTATATTCCTATGAAACTCAGCAGCCTAGATATCAGAGGGGTAGCCGTGTTAGTCTGAATCTGTAAAAAGCAACAGAGGGTCCTGTGGCACCTTTAAGACTAACAGAAGTATTGGGAGCATAAGCTTTCGTGGGTAAGAACCTCACTTCTTCAGATGCAAGTCTTGCATCTGAAGAAGTGAGGTTCTTACCCACGAAAGCTTATGCTCCCAATACTTCTGTTAGTCTTAAAGGTGCCACAGGACCCTCTGTTGCTTTTTACAGCCTAGATAATAATTCTTGGCCCACATACACACACTTTTGACCTGGCCAACGGCTCTTTACAGACTTCAGTCAGCTCTCACAACTCATGAGTTTAAAAGAGGGGTGTCCTTCTCTACTTGAGAGGAAAAACTAAGGGGCAGAAAGTTGAAGTGACTTGTCAGAGGCCACTTGGTGAGCTGGTGGCAATCAAGGATCAAACTCTTCCTGTCTGATGAAGGAAGTACAGGGAGATAGCAGGCCCCAGAAGCTTTGGCCCAGGGCACTGGGACAATCCTGTATTGTGAGATGCACCCTCCTGCGACCTTTAATGCCAGCACCTCTGGTTGTGAGGTCTCCTCAGAAAACCCCCCACGTTCAGTACACCACTTGGGATCTGGTTGATCTACCTGGGCAGGATGAAGGGCTGAGTCAGACCTGGGATGTGAAGTTGTGGGGGCTCCAGACAGTTTGGGGGGGGTTTCACACGTGAGGCTCAGCCCCCCACCCTGAAAGCCCAGGGTGTGCGTAAGAGCTGGCTCTACTCCTCACAGCCCCGACGTTATTCTACCCGGAGGGGACTCGTGACCCACCCCAGAAGAGGATGGGAGTGGGGGAGACATGGACCCCCCCCCTTCGCAAAGGGAAATGACTCCCCCTCCTCCTCCCCCCCCCCCCCACTCAAGAATCCCCCCCCCCGCTCAATTCCTCCCAACCAGGCGACCTTCTACCCCAGGAGGAGGGAGACACCCCCCCTACCCGCCAGGTACCGGGGAGGGGCTTCCACTGCCGCCCCCCCCTCACTCCGGAGCCGCAGGGACCCGTCACCCCCTCCCCCCACCCGGGAGCCCCCCTCCCCGGGGCAGGGAGGCCTCGCAGCCGGGCGCTAGCTGGGACCCAGGCTGCTCCAAAGCGGGGCCCGGGCCCGGCCCCCCTGGCTCCTCCCCCACAGGCCGGTGCCCCCCCACGCGGCCCCCCCCGCCCAGCACCCCCGGCCGGGCCCGCCGCGGGGCGGATGGCGGCGGATAGACGCGGCGGGACTCACTGTGCGGGGAGCCGGCTTCAAGATGGCGGCGGAAAGAGAGAGACTGAGGCGGAGGGGGCGGCGCTTCCGGGAGAGCGAGCGAGGGCTTCCGGGGCAAGGGTCACTCACCGCCCTCTTCCCAGGAGCTCTTCCCGACTCCCCTCCTCCCACCGCGGGACAGGGAGCTCCAGCAGGGGCTGTTCCCTGCGCCTCCCTCCTCTTTCCCAGAGCCCGCCCCAGCCAGGGGCTGTTCCCTGCGCCTCCCTCCTCTTTCCCAGAGCCCCCCCCAGTCAGGGGCTGTTCCCTGCGCCTCCCTCCTCTTTCCCAGAGCCCCCCCCCCTCCGGGGGCTGTCCCCTCCCCCCCCCCCCCCTTCCCCAGAGCCCCCCCCAGTCAGGGGCTGTTCCCTGCCCTCCCCCACCAGGGCTAGGGGACCCCCCACTTAGTCCCAGGGGCTGCTCCCTGCTTTAAAGGACCCCCCATATTTCCCCCACGCAGGGGCTATTTCATATTACTCTCCCATCTCTGCCAGGACCTGCACCCCCAAGGTGGGGGTCCCAAGGAACTGCTGCCTGTTCTGCCCCCACCCCCATTCTGGCTGTGGCCAGGAAGGGGGGGCTCCCTGAGGAGGGAGCTGGGGGTTAGTCTGCTCCCCGGCCCAGTTATCTCGCACTCTGTCGGGGTAACAGACGCAGCTGGGATGGAGGTTTGCATTTGCGATTAAGGAACGTGGCGTCTCCCTGCCCCACGGAGCAGGTCGGATTTTCCAAAGAGCCCAGTGGCGCTCAACCTTTCCAGACGACTGTCCCCCTTTCTGGAGTTGGATTTGTCTTGCCTCCGACCAGTTTCACCTCACTTAAAAACTACTTGCTTACAAATCAGACATAAAAATACAGAAGCGGCACAGCCACAGTTACTGACAAATGGCTTCCTTTCTACCATCTAATTCTAAAATAAACCGATTGGAATATAAATATTGTACTAACATTTCAGTGTATAGTCTATAGAGCTATGTAAACAAGTCCTATGAAATTTTAGTTTGTACTGACTTGCTAGTGCTTTTTATGTAGCCTGTTGTAAAACTAGGCAAATCTCTAGATGAGTTGATGTACCCCCTGGAAGACCTCTGCGTACCCCTAGTTGAGAACCACTGTTCTAGAAAACCTGCCCTCACTGTCAGACACAATCCCTCTCCTTTCCCTCCCCCCAAAACTGGGCACTTGCTTACTCCCAGGTTAGTTAAATTGTGCAAACGCCACTGGAGATGCTCCAACTTTGATTTGAGAAGTTTACTGCAGTTCAGCTTAAACCTAGTCCTACTCCACTTAAGCGAGCGTTCACAGAGAGCTCTAAACTCATTTAAATTCACCCTTTTAGCTAAACCGATGCAAATGACCCTCACACTGATCTTCCTGAGACCTTTCTGACTCGCCCATCCCTCTGAGCCTGGGTCCAGGGCAGGCCAAAAAGGGGAAGCTTTCAACTTAAGAAGTATGTCTGAACTTTTTATTTTCTACTGGTACAAACAATAACCCCTAGCTCTTATCAGTGACCTCCCTTTGGGATCTACTATCATTATCCCCATTTTAAAGATGGGGAAACTGAGGTATAGGGAGGTGAACTGATTTGCCCCACTGAACTGGGAACAGAACCCAAGTCTCCTGCTTCCCAGTGTGGTGCTCTGTCCACTAGGAAACACAACCTCTCTGAGATTCCTGTAAGAGGGATGCATGAGAGTAAAATCATTCTCTCTTCCAATTTGTGCCCAACACGTGCTAGGGGCTGTACATAGCTACAGGCAGGTGAGATCTCTGCCCTGCAGTGTGTTCCCCATTGAAAGCTCCAATCTTGCAACTGGAGCCAAAAAGCTAGACCCCCGTGTCCCTACAGAGGCATATGGATTCAAATTAAGAGTGGGCCACTTTCTGGAAGATGTGCTCTAGTCAAACACCTGTTAGGGGACTTAATGCAGATGTCATTGGCTGAAATTCTCTGGCCTGTGTTATACAGGGGGTCAGCTGAGATGATCTAACCGGCTTTAACAGCTATGAAAAAACAAAATGTGATTTTAAACCCACAGATGCCGGCAGGGGGATGGTGCCGGGTCTGGAATAATTTTTGGGTCAATTTCAGAAATGGATTCCAGTGGATAGTCCCTTGAAGGTCAGCAGGGGGCACTCTCGCAACTTGATTAGTCTAGCAATGACTTTAAATGACTGGCTGTCTAGAAAAGGACAGGGTTAAAAAACAGCAAACAACAACAACAGCTAACCCCTGCACCTAAACTATCTGACCGTGAGCCTTTAAAGGCCGAAGGGCTCTGGGAGAACTGGAGTGGCGAGGGGATACTTACTTTACCCCACTCCTGAGTCATGTTTGTTTCTTTACTTTGATGACTAACCTCAGCATTAGAACAAAAGAGAGAGCAACAAAGGAAATGGAAGAGCCAGGGACCCACGTACCTATTGCTCACTGTATCCCTCAGACCTTTCCAGTCCTGTACCTAGCTGCAAGCCCACCGCTGCTCTTTCCCCTGAGACATGGGGGTCTAGTGACCTTTTCAGATCACTGGATAACTTCCCAGCCACGCCCCGTGAACCCAACCAGCAGCCCACAGCACAACCACCACCAAAAGGACACACGGTCTTTAACGGAACCCTTTAATCGTTTTCTTTTTGCAGAAAAAAGTACAAAAGAAGGATACACAGAGCGCCTCCTACTGGGCCATCAGACCCAGCTGCCTGGAGTCATTCGAGAGCTTGCGAATTAAACCCTGCAGCAGGGAGAGGACTACACAGGCTGCAGCCAGAAGGGAACGTTAAGCAGGAGGAGGGACAACTGGAGTAGCCTTGGATGTCTGGAATAAGTCAGTCGAGGTCGAAATCTGGAAGAGCTGGGCCCGGGGAACCATTGCTTAGAAATGACAAATACAATGGTCCAATCTCATGCATCTGAGGCTGTCAGGCAGCTTCTTCCATTAATAATGGTTTGCCCCAGAGCAGCAGAGTTACCCTGATAGAAAGAAAACCCGTGGGTCATTTTTGCAGGCATCAGCCAGGTGCCGATTGCAGACCCCTGCGCCCTCGGAATCCATCAGCCGATGAGAATTCCTCCCTTCCTCTCGAATCAGCCAGCTGGGATCCCCTCTCTCCAAATTCCCACTTTACCAATGGCTCTTGGTCAGGTAGGTAAAATTCCGCCTTGCCCTTGTGCCGGCAAACAGGGGCAGGTGGGTTAAGCCGCCTGCTGTCTGCAGACGAGGGGAGGAACTGACAGCAGCCCATGCCCCGTCGCCTCACGCCAAAGGAAGCAGTTCTAATTTCTTGCCAACAATCCACAGCGTAGTCTTCTCCCAGCGCACCCTCCAAGCCCAGGCTCCCGCTGGCCCCTGCAAAATGAACATCCAAATCCTCTCTCTCCAGTAGGCAAGACCAGTTGGGTTTCCTTTTCTTTGAAGTCTGCTGAGTAAAGCCTTTAATGCCAAGAAGAATAAAGTAACTAGAGCAGTCCGCTGTCCCGATCAGAGCTCTTGTAACGGCTGGTTGGACATACCAGATGTAGATTTCCCCACTGGAGACACCAGAATCCTCAGAAATCTCCTTGTAAGTCTAGAGGAAAGAAACGCGGGATCTTAAACAACAGAGAAAGCTGCGCCTGTGGCTTATTATACGTCTGCCTTTCTTTTCCTCTAAGCCAGTGATACTCAGACCTCAGCGGTTCAGGAGCCAAATCAGTGATCAGCACCACCCAGCAGAGCCACCGCCGTGTGAATTCAATAGGTGCTCTATATTCATATTTAAACGGAATGACGGGGAAATATTTAATGTATATATTATTCTCACAGCAAAATGACTGACCAGGTACTATTACTTGATCAACTACAATCGGTTAATAACACAGCAAAAGCATCGTGATGGGCTAATAATTAAATCACAGTGTTTTAATATCATGTGCTGCAAAGAGCCACAGGAGACACACTGAAGAGCTACCCAGTCTGAGTATTGCTGCGGTAAGCAGGAGTTGATGGGCATTAAGACACACAACCTTTTGGGTTACGTTCTCATTGAACAGATGTGTTGTGAGCAAGACACGAGAAGTCATTCTTCCGCTCTACTCTGCGCTGGTTAGGCCTCAGCTGGAGTATTGTGTCCAGTTCTGGGCACCGCATTTCAAGAAAGATGTGGAGAAATTGGAGAGGGTCCAGAGAAGAGCAACAAGAATGGCTAAAGGTCCTGAGAACATGACCTATGAAGGAAGGCTGAAAGAATTGGGTTTGTTTAGTTTGGAAAAGAGAAGACTGAGAGGGGACATGATAGCAATTTTCAGGTATCTAAAAGGGTGTCATAAGGAGGAGGGAGAAAACTTGTTCACCTTCGCCTCTGAGGATAGGACAAGAAGCAATGGGCTTAAACTGCAGCAAGGGAGGTTTAGGTTGGACATTAGGAAAAAGTTCCTAACTGTCAGGGTGGTTAAACACTGGAATAAATTGCCTAGGGAGGTTGTGGAATCTCCATCTCTGGAGATATTTAAGAGTAGGTTAGATAAATGTCTATCAGGGATGGTCTAGACAGTATTTGGTCCTGCCATGAGGGCAGGGGACTGGACTCGATGACCTCTTGAGGTCCCTTTCAGTCCTAGAATCTATGAAGAGAGCAATGCAGTTCATCCCTCAGCTGGTTTAACCAGAGTTAAGAACACCCCTTTTACCTGCAGGGAGGACACAACCTAAGGGGAGCTGAAGTCACTTTCCAGGGGGACACAGCTGGAATAGAACCCAGGCAGCTGTGCGCTGACCATTGGGCAGTCTCGCCCCCTCCCACGCTTAGAAGTGAGGACCACATTTCTGTGGGGAGAAGGGAGAGCCCTGAAAGGTTTCGAGCAGCCTGGAAGAGGAGAGGCCCCGCCCAGTCCCCTCCTCGGTCCCTACCGCTCTTCTTGAGAAGCTCCCCTTTGCGAGACTTGTCCATTTCCTCCACGAACTGTTCGAAGACTCTCACGTACGGAGCCAAGCTGGTTTTCTTGTAGTCTAAGGGACAAAGAGAGACACGTGCAAAGGATCTGCCGGCCATACAGAGTGTATGCAGCGCCTCATGTTACAATCCCTCAA